AGGTGCAGTATTTTGTAGTAGTGGGTACAGTATTGTGTAGTAGTGGGGACAGTATTATGTAGTAGTGGGTACAGTATTGTGTAGTAGTGGGTACAGTATTGTGTAGTAGTGGGGACAGTATTATGTAGTAGTGGGTACAGTATTGTGTAGTAGTGGATACAGTATTGTGTAGTAGTGGGTGCAGTATTGTGTAGTAGTGGGAACAGTATTTTGTAGTAGTGTGTACAGTATTGTGTAGTAGTGGGTGCAGTATTGTTTAGTAGTGGGTGCAGTATTGTGTAGTAGTGGGAACAGTATTGTGTAGTAGTGGGAACAGTATTGTTTAGTAGTGGGTACAGTATTGTGTATTAGTGGGTGCAGTATTGTGTAGTAGTGGGAACAGTATTTTGTAGTAGTGGGGACAGTATTATGTAGTAGTGAGTACAGTATTGTGTAGTAGTGGGTAAAGTTTTGTGTAGTAGTGGGAACAGTATTGTATAGTAGTGGGTACAGTATTGTGTAGTAGTGGGTGCAGTATTGTGTAGTAGTGGGTACAGTATTGTGTTGTGAGTAGTGTTTGATTGTATTGATTAGTATTAGACATCCAGACATGCTTGTCCAACCGAAATAATTTATTGAATAGCATAATGCTATAATGTTTTGGTGATTGAAAGCAACACAGTGATGTTGAATGCAAAAGTGTTTTTAATCTATCTCTGAACATATCTTTCATATTTCGTTCAGATCCAGACACTCTAGAGATGTCAGAGCCCAGCCAGACAAGCCGGCCAAGCACTGTAAGTTTATTGACGCTGTACAAAGGTGATAATGAAATATGGTGCATCCTCTGTCGGTTGCCATCATCTGTTTTCCGCATCATTGGTTTAAATGACATCTCCTCTCAAAATTGCTGAGCATATTTCAGCTAAATGTTAGTGAAAGCATTTTTGGCTCATCATATATGGCCATGTTATAGATATGGTATCAGACATGTGTAATAAAACCTAAAAGTGTTGTGATTGGTCATAACAGTTGGAACATATTCCTATGCCACAGGTGGACTTTACAGGTAAGTGGGGTCGATCTATTGTTCAGCAGTCAGCCACGTGTGAAAAAGACACTGTTAGGTCGTGATGTTGTTTACATTACGCGTCCAGGTGTGACACCACACACCAGATCCCGGGGCATAAATTATTTATTGAATGGTGCGGGGTCCGTCGTCCGTCCGGCGTCCGTCCGGCGTCAACTTTTTGCTTCAAACAACTTCTTCTCAATAACCAAAAGGCCTAGGAAGATGATATTTGGCCAGTAGCATGCTTGGATCAAGGCTACCAAGTTTGTTCGAATAAATGACCTTGACCCACTTTCAAGGTCACAGGGGTCAAATATGTTAAAATCTTCAAACAACTTATCAATAACCAAAAGGCCCAGGGTACTGATATTGGGCCTGTAGCATGCTGGGATGAAGGGCTACCAAGTTTGTTCAAATGAATGACCTTGACCCACTTTCAAGGTCATTGGGGTCAGATGTCTTTAAAATCTTCAAACAACTTCTTCTCAATAACCAAATGGCCCAGGGTACTGATATTGTGCCTGTAGCATGCTGGGATGAAGTTCTACTAAGTTTGTTCAAATAAATGACCTTGACCCACTTTCAAGGTCACTGGTGTCAGATGTCTTTAAAATCTTCAAACAACTTCTTCTCAATAACCAAAAGGCCCAGGGTACTGATATTGGGTCTATAGTATGCTGGGATGAAGGGCTACTAAGTTTGTTCAAATGAATGACCTTGACTCACTTTCACGGTCACAGGGGTCTAATGTCGTAAAATCTTCAAATGACCTCTTCTCAATAACCAAAAGGCTCAGGGTACTGATATTGGGCCTGTAGCATGCTGGGCTGAAGGACTATCAAGTTTGTTCAACTGAATGACCTTGACCAACTTTCAAGGTCACAGGGTCAAATGTCGTAAAATCTTCAAGCGACTTCTTTTCAATAAGCAAATGGGCCAGGGTACTGAAATTGGGCCTGTAGCATGCTAGGATGAAGGACTACCATTTTAGTTCAAATGAATGACCTTGATCCACTTTCAACCTAATGTCCTTTTAATAGGTTCTTTTGATATCTTTATATTACAAGTGTTAGATTGATAACAGGTGAGCGATGCAGGCCCATTGGGCATCTTGTTCTTCTAATTACCTTCATTTACCAATGAAAACATGATAATAACCGAAAAGTGACATTAAATGACGTGATATTAATTGAAATGTACTGTACAATATATTAGTACTACATGTACTTTAATTAGATCACCTGAGGTTTGCTCAAGTGACCTATTCCGATTGCTTTCCATGCGTCGTCCATCGCGTGTAAACTTTTTTGGCTTCTTCTCAAGAACCAATGAATGGGTTTCAACTTGGTAAGGACCATCCTTGGTGGAAGAGGGCATCAAATTGTAAATGGAAATGCCCACCCTACCCCGGGGGGCCAGGGCGGGCCCTAAAGAGAAAATTAACCAATATTTCAAAAATCTTCTCCAGACTCAGATGTACTACAATCTAATTCTCTGCATGGATGGAAAGATCCAGCAAAGGGTTTATATACATGTAAATTTCATTACCCCCAGGCCATCCGTTCTCCTTTGTGGAGGGGTAAAGTTTACTATAGTTACTCATCTGATGGTGGGCTATTCAAATCACCATGTGTCCGTGGTCCGCCGTCCGTCGTTAAACAATTATTGTTATCAGTATTTCTCAAGAAGTACCAGAGGGATTTTTCTCAAATTTTATATGTAGGTTCCCCTTGGTCCTTAGCTGTGCAGGGCAACTTTTGAGACTGATCGGATAAACAACATGGCCAACAGGCAGCCATCTTGGATTTTGATAGTGAAAGTTTGTTATCGCTATTTCTCGGGAAGTACGGGAGGGATCTTTCTCAAATTTTAAATGTAGGTTCCCCTTGATCCCTCGTTGTGTATGTTATATTTTGAGACTGATCATAAAAACAAAATGGATTAAAAGAAGAACTAAACAGATCTTTCTCATATTGCAATGATCGATTCTATTTCTTTCACATTAAGTACTGTACTAGTAAATATGTGAAATGACAAACTCACTTTGAAGGTTGGCTTTCATACACATCAGTATTAAGTTTAGATCAAAAGTTACCTCAAGGTGCATTTACTGTTAACATGACTCGATCAAACAGATTAGAGGAAAGAAGAGAAAAGATCAAACTGACAAAGAACTAATGAAGATGGTACAAAGGTGGGCGCCAAGATCCCTCTGGGATATCTTGTTGGTATATTTTGTCCATTTTCAGAAGGAAATTATTCTAACTTGGATAGAATGATTATGATGTCGGATGGCAATTAGATGGTATGAGAAAATAAGATCCTTCGCCATCTTCAGAGGCTGGAAGGGTGGGGCCAAAATGGGGAAAATGGTTAAAAGTTCAAAAATCTTTATCAGACTCGGATGTTGTACAATCACAGGTACTATCCTTGTCTGTCAATACACCTATAATATTATATTATAGGTGTATTGACAGACGAGGCTAGTACCTGTGGGTGCATTATCTAAATTGTAAATTTCATTATCCCCCAGGTCATCTGCTCTTTCTTGGGGAGAGGGTTAAGTTTACTATAGTTTATTATTAGAAGAACTTTCTTTTCAGAGCGATTAGTATGTTCAATATTAAGTTTACGAGTGAAAACAACTCGCCTTACGATATATTTACATTCGTTTCCACCGGACGTAAAGCGACGCCTCACGTCAGTTCACTTTCAAAGCACAACATTGCAATAGGAGTTGTTCCCCTTTGTACGATCCAAGCTAAAATTTGCTTAGATTAATGGCTTTGCGTGGGACAGAGGGAGAATATTTTCGAATGCATGAGATTTATGGCTCCCGTGGTCTGAGACATGTTTCTGTCTGAGTAAGGATGACTCGGCGTGAGATTTTATCTCACGCTGTGAGAGTTGGCAACACCATGTTTCATATGACATGAGTTTTATCCGATCATGAAATCAAACGTAAACTGGAATTAAGCGTTATGTATAATGTCTCCCCAGAGAATAATTCCTCCATGATAGGTAACGGATGATTGTTCTTGGCAGTAGTATGGGCTGATGTCTCGAACTGATTTTCACGAGGTCTGCATATTGTCAAGCTAACCAGGCTTTTACCAGATAGGCCACATGTAATTTTTCCTGTGGTAGTTTGTAATCAGAGTTTTGATTGGTCAAATCAACAAAAGTGATACTTTTCACTTTTATAAAATGAATAATTTTCAATATTTACTGGTAAAAATGTGCAGGTAACTAATTATATTTCTCAATACATTATATCAAAATAATTAATTTGAATAGTTTTTACAGTTTTTTTCCTTTGGTGACATATGACAAGTTTATATTTCATTTTGTTTACATGTTGATTTCAACATCACATCTCAACAATGAAATTGAGCTACCAGTACCTATAATATATAACTCAGGTGACTGCTAAGGCCATTGGGCCTTTTGTATAAATAAACTTGTTTAAGTCGCTCTCGGCAGGAGCCTGCCAGGGCTTATTGATTTTTGCATTTTTAGCTCACTTGACCCAAAAGTAAGATTTTACTTTAAACAATTTCTTCATAATAACTAAAAGGCTTAGGGTGCTGATATTTGGCCAGAAGCAAACTTAGATGAAGTGCTACCAAGTTTGTTCAAATAAATGACCTTCACACAAATTCAGGGTCACAGAAGTGAAATATTTTAAAAGCTTAAAACAACTTCTTCTGAATAACAAAAATGCCCGGGGTGATGATATTTGACCAGTAGCATGCTGTGATGAGGGCTTTTAAGTTTGTTCAAATGAATGAACTTCGCCCATATTCAAGGTTACAGGAATCAAATTTTAAACTTTAAACAACTTCTTCTGAATAGTCAAAATGCATAGGGTGGTGATATGTGACCAGATGAAGAGCAATATATTTTGTTTATGTGAATAACCTACTTTGACACATGTTCAATTTTACATCTGGTCAATTGTGTATGAACCATTAAAAGTCATTTTCATAATATGGTGGTGATATTTGGCAGGTTGCATTCTGGGATAAAGGGCTATAAATTAAAAATTTGTTCAACTTAATGTTATTCTTTGACTTTCAAGCTCATAGGGGTCAAATGTGTTAAAATCTTTTAACATGTTCTTTTGAATGACTTTGAGTCAAGACACTTATATTTTGCCTGTAGCTTTATTTAAGTCCATTTCTAAAGTTACAAGTGTGAGATTAATATCAAGTGAACGACACAGGCCCATTTAGCGTTTTGTTTGTTTAAAATCTGTGAAAAATACTGATTATTCCTGTTCTTGTAATGTAATGCCTTGAATGTTCCCAGGTATTGTCATCAGGGTTTCTACACTTCATGTTTCAGGTTTGTACAGAAAAATCAGAAATGGCTTCAGTTATTCCAACAGAGGCCATAGACATCCATAACGACTTGGTGTTTTATCTTGGAACACAGATTGAGGAGACCAAATTATGTCAACTTAAGAACCTGTTAAAAAATAATCCATTAACCCCAGTCGACATTGCTTCAATTAAAAACATCTATGACCTATTCGACAATCTTATGAGATACAAAACAATAGCTGTGGGAGACTACACACAATTTGTACGGAAACTTGAACTTACAAATCCTGACCTGGTGGGATATGTGAACGAGAAAGAAAATGCAATAAAAAGCATTGTTGATGGAGGTGAGTCAGACTAACATATTACTACATGTCTATATCAATAATATTTTATCAAAATTAAGGTACTCTGCATAATATACCTGTGTAAAATTAGTTTTAATTCAATCATGATAATGATTTTTCTTTTCATTTCCTTTGAAGTTGTTAAAACCTTGCAGATCTAGAGCGACCACAAACTACATATATGTTGGTGTTATATTTCATGACATGAATCCTTGTTTTATACACAAGGAGTTTCACAGGTGTCTAATAATTTTATATTGGGTATCTAATAATTCATAGGTACAAGCCTGGACAGGAAAAAGTACATTACACAACAACCAGGATGTGACTTAGATCTGGTACTATATAGAGACACTCGAGGGTAGACATATGAATACGTTGAGAAGTTACAGTGGGGACAATGCAATTAGTCTAATTTTTGAGGCAGTCTGCCCCTTTATCAAATCAGATATATGAAACAAGCGGTAAAAACACACTTACTGCTGAATTTCTAATGTTAGAGGAGGGATGTACATGTACACACAAGTATACATGTAAGAACATATTTTCAGTGACACCCACGCATTGAAAGGACTATGTAACAGTGCTGGTTGTTCAAACCGCTTTTTGTCTGTAGTTTAGGGTTCATCAGTCAGGAAGTCCATCATTCCTTGTCTGAACAATTTTGCTGTCTGTGTGTCTGTCTGCTTTAAGAGTATTCTGATCAAGTTCCATAAAGGACCTGAGCCATCATATTTGGATATGTTGTGTAAATAGGAAGTGTTAACCTTGTTATGGATTATATACTTGGCCCATATAGTTCTGTATGTTCCAATTTCAGAGTTCATGAGCTCAAAATTCATGTTGCAATTTGATTTCCACAACTTCTTAGTTACCTCAGTACCAATATTTGTTCAGAAAGAGAAAAGAAAAAAACCTACATACCAGCATGCGCAACATTCCATGATATCTGAGCCACGATCCCTCTGGGATCTCATGTGTTCTGTAACACTTTCATCATGGTGTCAACAACATCAAGATAACTAGCTCACTTTAAAATTACAGAAATGGAATCAATGTTGTAACGTCTTTCTGATCGATATAAAGATGGTAATTATAGAATACAGAACTCATGTTATAAAATCTTTGCAATATTTTGTCATAATTCTTTCAGTCCAAGTATACAATGTAAGCCTGAGGTGTATGGTGGATGGAAGTTTAAAATTAAAATTGTATTAAAAATAATTTTATGAACTTATAACAATCATAAATGGAATGATTTTGATAAGTAAGTATACATGTTTTCCATCTATTTCCAGATCCGGCTACTAGGATTGCTACAACATCAGACACAAGCCGAGACAAAAGTAAGTTTGACAGCTGCAGTGTTATCCACAGACCTTTATAGCCAGACATACCATCTGGTTATATTTTACTAGCAGGTTGTTTTCTGAATTTGAATGAAGAAACTAAGTATAATGGCGTTTTAAAAAGATATACAACAGTCAGACCAAGTGCCAGAAAGCTAGTATCTCCACTTAATTATTATCAATATATAGGAATACATGGATAGTCCAGCTACCTTTGCCTTTGGTCTTAAGTGACTGGATAGACAAGTAGCTTCATTATTAAACATATGGAGATATTCACCTCTTTAAAATAATTAATTTTAATTTCAGTTAACAAGATAATCAGGTGATTTGGTGAATCGTTTATGTAAAAGACACAACATGGTTATTTTGACATAACATTGATATAAGGTGTTTGTGAGTCAGAAGACAAGTATCTGTACTAGTTCTCTATACATGTATTGATATCTACTAGCTGTGTATACATGTAATGATATCTACTAGTGTACTATTAAGATCCATGGTTTGGTAACTGACTTGTCAGGTTCAGATCACTGTGTAAGATGTAAGTAGTAATAAGAAAGTTTGTCTTGAATAAATCATCTGTTAGAAAATTCAAATTGTGTCTTACCTATTTAATGTAAATCTTTTATTTTACAGAAATCCATCCTGACTTAGAACCCATGATAGGTGAGTCTTACCTACTGGATTGGACATGGTTAGAGAAGAAATGCAGCAGATTTCCTCAAAACTTGGACCAGAACGACATACACCATCTAAAGATATATGAAAGAAGTTGTATAATTCTATTTGAACAAGAATCTTGGTTTGCATATCCACAATCTGATTGAATTTATTCTTTTTCTATTCCCACACTATTTGATGTAGGATTTGACAATAGTTCATAACAGGTCATGTTCTGGTGAATGTTATTGCAGCCAATCATTGAAATGCCCTACAAATAGTCTCAATATTTCAAAAACATGTAATTAAACATGACTTCTGTATTGAAGGCCACCAGGTCATGACCTCTTGCCACGTCATCATATCTTACATCATAAATATTGTAGAGGAATAGAATGAAAGATTTTGTTTAAATCAGATTGGAGTTATAAGCTCATCTGGAACAAAGTACCAGTGAGCTTTTGTTGTGGTGCTTCATCTGTCGTCGTCTCTGTCTTTGATCAATTTTCGCTTTAAATGACATCTCCTAAACCGTTAAGCAGAATTGAACCAAATTCTCAAATACTTATGCCAAGGGAATCAAAAGATTTATAGATAAAGGGGTCCCCTTTCCCCCACTGGGTGCTGGGGGCAGATTTGCATTAAGTGACATCTCCCCAACTAATGGGCAAGGTTAAACAGAATTGTTTTTGTAGCATCTTTAGCCCGTGGGAATCAAACTTTACACAAATTAAGAGCTGATTCTTGGGGGTTGAGAGTTAGGATCAAAAGAGGTTGAATTGGAAGTTTAACTTTGAATGACATCTCTTCCAAAATTGCATGGCAGGTTTTAAGCAAATTGCTGTGGTAGTGTCCTTTATCCATGGGGATCAAAATTTATGCAAATGAATTAAATTAATATGAAGGGCTGACCGTCATGCTTAGGCACTCTCTTCCCAAAGTGTCGGCCAGATTTCAACTAGATTTCCAAAATAGCCAGGTGACGGATTCAAGGCCCTAAGGCCTCTTGTTCTGTAACAACTATAAGTTACATCATTCATGATTGTGATGTCTCCGCAAGATATTGAACATCGGATCACTGACTTACTAGTCTTGACGTCTACCTATTGGGCTAAAAGGTCTCATGGCTCATTTGATAGAACACAAGACAAGTAAAACAGAGGTCCTGAACTACTTCTTTTAGGATAAACATGCCAAGACTTAGTTAAACATAGTTAAACATATTATTGGTACATAAATGAATAAACATTAAATTAGAAAGAATTTCAATTGATCAACACTATTTGACTGCTAAAAATACCTCATTTTGTGACGTCATACTAAACGTATTTGTGACGTCATGATTCACTGTGAAACTGATTTTTGCTTACATAATGTTTTGTGAGAATGAAGTTTCTAAATTTGTGTTGATTGGTTATCATAACCGGTTACATATTGTTTTCTGTGATTGGTAAAATATCAGTCGATATATTTTATGATATTACAATTAATTTGTTCATTCAACCCTCCTTTACAATTGATTCCCTACAGTATTCTGTATTTGGAAGTAAAATGGAAACAAAACTTTGACTTACATAGGTTTTATTATAAAATATCAGTTTCACACAATTACGACTTCTCAGCCTATATCTTCTTCTTTTTTACTTTCAGAAAGAACCAAAGCCAAAATCATAACAGAAAAAAGGGACAACAAATTCCACCCCACCAAAGGTTTCTGTGATGCTAAAGAAAAGCTCCTAAATAACAGGGTTGTTGTCATCAAAGGAAATACAGGAGATGGTAAAACAGCGATCGCCGTTCAACTCCTTCATTGGCTGAGTGAGGAGCAGAAAGCCGGACAACCCCTACAACTTCACGAGATTAAGAAATTAGATTTATTGGCTCCAAACTTGAAACTGATCACTTTTATTGATGATATTTTCGGTGAGAAAGATGTATGTAAAACAGATGTAGACGAGTGGAACAAAAGAATCTTAGATGTAAAAACACTTTTTGTAGATAAACAAGCCCAGACCAATTTTCTCATCATTACTATTCGTAATGAAGTATTCAATTCTTTGGAAAAACGTTCTCTTGGAACAATTTTAACCGAAGATAACATTATTGATCTGAGTTCACAAACATACAAACTTGCAGAAGAAAAAAAAGAACTTTTAGAGCTGTATAAGCCAAAAAACTTTTCATGGACAGACGAAGAAAAAACACAAATTTCAACTTATGCACCGAACATTGGATTCCCACAATGTTGCAAGCTTTTCTACAATTCTGAAGAATTGCAGAAAGAACGAGTTAATTTTTTTGAAAATCCTTTTCATTTCTTGAATGAAGCATTGTTAAGATTACAAGAATGTTCTGCACTTTTGTACCTCTTCCTTAATGGTGGAATGATAAGGGTCCAAGATCTGGATCCAAACAGTGAAAACGTCAATAAAATATTGCTGGAACAAGCATTTTCAATAAAGTTGATTGGTGGTAAAAATCACACAGCCACTCCGTTCTGTAACAAAATTAGAAAAATGGGATTTATAAAGGACAGTTTCGATGAATTATTAGGCTTTTTGGTAAAGAAGGAGAAATTTTGGTCTATTGATCATGAGGACGTGTACAGATTTAATCATCATTCTATTTATGTTGCTGTGGCACTTTTGTATGGAAAAGTCACACCGATTGGCTATATACAGAATTGTCCCAGCCAATCCCTCAGTTATCTAACAACCTCAAAAACAGCTACAAACATGATTGTCATAGCATCTGATCAGTATACAAAAATGTGTGAGCGTCTACTCCGAGAGTTTGAATGTAAGGAGTATCCATATGATACTTGTATTGGCTCTCTAGATGTATGGAATGATCCTGTATTTGTTAAAAGATTTGTCAGGTTGTTGAATGACAGAAAAGTTGATGAACTTGCTGTGCTGAATAAAGCATGTCATTGTGGTGCAAAAGAATGTGTTTTATATCTTCTGTCAAAAGGTGTAAAACCTGACAAGGACACAGCATTGTCATTGGTTACTAGTAGACATTGGATTGATAGTAACAGACAAGTGTGTTTACTTAGGAAAATTGGTGTATACTTGAATGATGAGTCAAAAGTTGATGTGTTGAATGAAGCATGTGATTCTCGTGCAGAAGAATGTGCTTTATATCTTCTGTGTGAGGGAGTAGAACCTGACGAGGAGGCAGTGATTAGTGTGGTGGAGGGACAGAGTGTGAAACTGTTACGTAAACTACTGGAGTATGACGTCACTCCTACGGCGAGGAATACGTACAATGAGAATGTCCTTCATGTGGCGTGTTGGCGTGTTAGAGAAGAGATGGTGACGTTGTTACAAGACAAGTACCCACACTTGGTACATGACACTGATAGGTTAGGACGAACGCCGCTCCATGTTGTGGCACGGAGTGGAAACTTTTCTAGGTTTCAGACACTGGAGAGGTGTGTACTTAACTCCTTATATAGAGTTGACGACCAACAACACAAGTGTGAGTCGGTAAATGGTCGTGTGGTTCATAGGAACTGTGTGTGTGCTCAGTACATGGCTCAGTTAGTGGATAATAACGGGGGAACGGTGTTACATTATAGTTGTGGGGGGAGTGGTCAGAGGGAGATTTATTTATATCTATGTCAGTCGTACCCAGCACTAACTACAGTTGTAGATAATGCCGGGAGTACGGTGTTACATTATAGTTGTTGGGGGGGTAACAGGAAGGTTTGTTCAGATTTATGTCGGTTGTGCCCAGCACTAACTACAGCTGTAGATAATGACGGCCGCCATTGTCTACATTACTTAGCTAGGGAACCAACAGATGTAGAAAGGTTCACCGAGTGTGAATCTCATGTTAAACAATACCTAGAGTCTACAGGACGTAAGTATGACATCACAACCATACTTAACAATAAAGGGGAATCTGTTTTAGACCTAGCAAAGCGAAGGGCGTCGTTCTGGGCGAAGTACCGGCCCTGGAGGACAGAAAACAACCCTTTGTTAGATCATCTTATTAAAGTGTTTGGTAAATAGATATGATAATGATTTCCCAATAAAATGTACAGTTATTATCAACACAAACCTTTTAAAACAATCATGTGCAAAGGTCATGTCAAGATGAATTGTTTAAACGAAGACATTTTATCAGTTTTGATTTTTTTTTTGTCCAAAGTTTACCGATCTCCACGCTCCGTAAAATGGCCAGGGTGTCCTCTAGGAGGTCCGAATGATGTCTATTTCTTTGGGAAACACTAAAGACCTGAGAGGATCAGGTTTTAGACCAGAGTTGATGAAATAAAACTGATGTTTTATGATCGGTCATGATTGTGGTGTTATAGATTGTTTTAAATGTTATTGAAGTATTGCATACATAATGTCCATACTTGCCAACTTTCTCTATTTTAGGAGGGAGTTTCGATTTTGGGCTCTAAAGTTTAGCATTTTCAACCAATGAATTTGCTAAACTATTCCTATTTACAAAGATCTGATGACTTCATCTGAAAGAACAGGTCAGAAGATGCCATTCAAAAGTATTATTTATTCTCTATGGTGTACATACACTCATTTTATTTATGCTTTTAATTCTGAGAATGTGTAATCTCCTCCACTGAAATTTTAAAAAGTTGGCAAGTATGAATGTTAAGTCCTGTGGATGAATGAAACCTAAACAGCAGTTAACTTGGATACATTGTAGATAAATTGGAACGATATTGAGGATATCCATCGCTATTCATTTGATGATTAAACATGTCTAGAGTATAAATTTTACAGTAAATTACACAGTTCACCAGTAGAGACTTGTAAACCTCATCATTTCAAATATTATCAAAACATTTTTTTATTGTAATTTTTTTATAGATTGTTCAATTTGTTGACATTTAATTATCTAAACTAATTTATTTATACTAGAATTTATCCTCATTTTTTTGTGAAGTCTAAGATTTATTGGATGGTAAACTTATATATTTTTTTTTTCAATTCAATTAGTTCAAAAAAGGAAATTTAACTGGTACAAGGATGTCTCCTTCAGGCTTCGGCAGAGGGGAAAAATTGCCAGGAGTCCTGGCCTCACAAATGACAAAACAGACTTTGTCAGGAGTGAAATATATGACTTTTTTCAGATATAAATTCACATTTAGCAAGATAAAAAGTCCATTAAGCAAAACTGCATATTATGCACGTTTCTTAATACGATATAAATTCTAACGTTTCCTTGGCGAACTTCCAGTATTTTTTAGTAGTGTAAAGACGACATACGTCTTAAAATATCTTCGTGTAGAGTCCCACATACCGGTAATACCTGTATGTTTTCTAGTGTATTTCCAACCAAAATTTATGGAATAGATTTCTTTCATACACCCTTATCATATTATATAGTCTAGAATAATATCATTTCCGCAACATATATAACCAATTGTTTTTTCTCCATGCTTTGATAACAAATATGATCACTTGTGCTGGTAATTGTTATTTTTTATGCAATAGTAAAGTTGAATATATACCCAGTAAGATACATTTGAATTTTTTGACTAATATCCGATGACTTCTAATTCTATCATCTGTAGAGGTTGTGGAGGGGATGTAGCATTGGTTTTGGTCGACTACTTGAGTAATTCGTACATAAAGTCACATTTTGTCATTTCTCTAGTAAGTTCACCTCTAAAGGATCTTGATCAAATCCCAGACATTATACTCGGTAGGTTAGAGTGACAGAATAATGATCACGAGTCCTGGGTTGGATCCGTATATAATTGTTGTGAGAATAGAATTTACCCGGTATATTTCACAATGTCATTGTTCAACAACAATTGTAGAATTCAGCTTGATTTTTCACATAAAAATATTCACTTGTTTTGGAATTTATTATTTTCCTTGCATATTCTTGAAAAAAAATGTAATACCTTTCCATGGCCATTTAGAAAGAAAGAGATTTTGTGGTTGTGTTTCTGCAGTATTTAATAATTGTCTGTATCCTGTATATAACAATATAGTGTTACCTTGGATATTCTGTATATAACAATATACTGTTACCTTGGAAACCTAAGTTTATCAGTCTGAACAATGAGACAGATATAATATGTGTATGTATTTAAGAATTAAATATACTTTACATGTAACACGATTCTGTATAAAGTGAAAAGAATGTTTTGTGCTTACATGATGTAGAATGTTTCTTCAGGAATGTGTACATCAATTTAAATATTCTAGTATAATGTATATATGGAAATCGCATTATAATACTAAATAGAGAAAACAGGTTGTATGTCTGAATGAGAGATGATAATAGTATGGTCGTGAAATATAAATTTTACTGAAATATATTTGTATTGTGTACACACATTTATATTTATGTACTTTGTGAAAACAATTACATGACTT